ACAAAGTCAGGTTAATTGCAGTCACTTTTACATTCACCAGCAACTTACAGAGTCAGCGCACAGTAACAATTGGCTGTGAAATGAGAAAAGGCGCCCCATCCCTGGAATTGGGCGAGAGATAACAAATGTGAAAGGATTGAATGCAAATACAGATAAATAAAACCTAATAGAAAACACCGCCTAAATTTAATGTAACAACCATTCGACCTCATTAGCTGAACATGTTCTTGTCATATTTCTTCAGTAAATGCTTTCATGCAAGACAGGCACAATGAATATGCTACCACTTGTACCTATAGTGAATGGAACTTAAGAATACTCTGTAGATACACAACATTGCATCGTAAATAGGTTTAAATCTTTTCTTATAAATGAAAAAAATCCATTTCTATGGAAAAATATGTTAACTGAAATTAGAGTATAAAAGACAAATTATGTAGACGATCATTAGCATTTTGCAGAGGATCTTTTACTTGAGTATTAGAGTAAACATCCTATTGTATGTTTAACCTAGACATACACAGTATTTGGGTAGGTGTTTGTCAACTGAGATTAAGTGTGCATAAGCTTACGTGAGAAAATCCAATATTGGCATCAGAGAAACACTCTTCTAGCCTATCAAAAAGTCTGACCACATGTTCACAGCTGGTATTCACAATTGTACTGATTCGTTTCCCATTTTACTAAAGGATAAGTAATTGTATTCTCCTGAACAACAATAGAATGAGCAATAAATCAAACTAGTGCCAAAGAAAGAAACTTAGTTCTAAAGTAGGAAAATATCATGTATTATTATTATTATAATGTGGTTAAAAAGTCATTGTGCAGATGTGAGTATTTATTAAGTTTACCTACATCTTCATAAAAACTGCCAGTGTTTACCAGTGCCTTCTGAAATATGAATGTAATAATTGATATATCATCAAGCCTAATAATGTTTTAAATATTGCTTCTATAGGTATTTTAATAATTTACAACAAATGAAAATAAATTGTCCAGGTTGCATTCTCTTTATAATGCACTTTGCAATATTTAAGACCTGATTTCTAGGAAAAAATATTTTGCAAAATACTGGCTCTCATTTGAACATGATTTGTCATTGCAGTGCTACTTTTTAAATTTATTAAGAACTTCTGCTTATTAAAAAATTTAATCTGAAATACATATATTTCCTATCATATGGAATTTCAGAGTTAGGTTGACGGGAAAACAAATGAATTATGTGCTTTTATGTGTGAATGGGAACTACTAAGGCTGTATTATTTAAAAATTAAATTAATATTTATTCAAATATAAAACACTTCAATAAAGACAGAAGAACAAAAAAGTGAACCATAGAATGAGTCTACATGTGTTTAAATGCTGAAGTGAGCATTTCTATTGATTTTTTTCCACATAAGCAGTCTTTCTAAAGATTTTTACACATCTCTGATCAAATTATCAGGGATAAAGGTACTAAAAATGAAAAAAATAAAAGTAATACTGTTATATATTAAATGTCAAAAATCACTGTTTTCAATTTCATTTTGAAAATAAAATAAGTAGATTTTTAAATGGTTACTTAAAGATTCTGTTTTGAATGACTAGGGCTAAGTGAACTGACAGTAAGAAAGTACTGACCAGATATTTTTAAACACCATCACCTGAAACACCTTCAAAGCAGTGCACTCTCATAAAACATTCAGAAAGATTATCTGACATAATGAATGCTCAAAATGCAAGCTCAAATCTACCCTGTAAAGCAATCAACTTTTTAGCAACTATTTTGACCTTAGTGACACAAACAATTAATCCTGCAAACCTAACGTCAAAATAAAATTCTACATTTAATGCAGAATGATTTTCAAAGTTGTTAATCTAAAACAACAATTGAAACATGCTATCTCCTTATACTACACATCCTAGTATATAGTTCTAACTTTAGAAGATGATAAAAGAATTAAGAAGAGTAATTTTTCAGAAGAAAGCTTTTTTATTACTAATTTTTCAGTGACTATAAAACAGCAGAGCATACTAACAAAGACATGGCCCCTATGATCATACGCATTATAGTTCACGTTCACCTTTACTAACCAATTAGAAATGTATAGTAAAATTTCTTGGACTAAACAAAGCCAATCATAAGAAATAATATTATGTGGCAGGTAAAATTATATCGAATGTAATGAAGTAGTCATTATACTCTTAAACTTGTGGGATGAGGAAAAAAGGAGAAAAAGAATGAGAAAGAGCTAACAGAGTTTTGATAAGAAAATCAAACCAATTCAAATAAATGGTTTTTAAACTATGACTCTTGTTCTAACATAATTCTTATAATAAATTCCGTTTTTATTTCTAACTAAAAAATCAAAGATATTCCAGATTATATATTTTAATATTAAAAATCAAATTCTAGGTAAAATTTTTAGCTATAATATACAAATCATTTTTACTTCATCAATCCATTTATCATTAAGTATCTGTTACAATCTAGTCCAAATGCAAACCCTTCCTTTTGAATATATGCTATAAGTCAAACTTTTCACCTCTATAAAAATAAAAAAGTCATAAAAATCAAGGTAAACATTCTGTTCTGAAAGCAGACCATATTCTGCCAGAAGTTCAAGGCAAACAAAATTTTACTTTGTTTTCATCACTTACTGCCACCTCAATTATATTTTTAAATATGAGAACTTAGCCAACAATGATTAGTCCATTACATTTATATGAAGTAATTTATCTGTTCAAAATTTTAAAGCTAAATTTGTAAAATTATTTCACTTATGAATTTGCTTGAATATTTTTCATTATTTTAATTCTTTCTACAATATATTGAATATGTTACCATTAAAAGCAGTAACTGAATTAATTTTATAGAAAAGACATTTCAATCCTTAATAGACTTACAGACCCATTCTAAAATACACTCATGGATAGACAAAAAATTCAATAACCTTAAGTATCTAAATATATTAATATAGTTAAAACATAACCAAGGGAAGAGACATTTATAAAGGTTTTTATATATTTATTTATTAAATTATTACATATCTTCCTGTAGATACATCCTGAAGTGTCTCATAAATGCCCGCTTTAACCATTGTATTAAATCACTTCTAGAGGGCACTTCACAAACAGGCAATGCATGACTGAAGTTTCTAAGTTATCAAAATAACATAACTATTTGTATTTACTTATTTACAGTTTACATAAACTGTTTAGAACAAATTAACTTCAAATTCAGGTTATAAACACACCTTAAATATATCTTACCATAAAATGTTTCCACAGTAGTATGAAATATAGACAGGATTTTGCCCTGTTTTCTTTTTTATTTAATAAGTAATCAGAACTTTGGAAAAAAGTTAACTTGTTTGCATTTCCTTTCAAAACCTGTTATCTTCCTAGTATTAAACTAAATGTTTATTTTCAATTATTCATTTCACTTGTTTTTATAAATGCAGTCTATTGCATTCTCAGACAAAATAGAATTTGGTTATAAATTCTTAGGACTCTTACTTAGGGGAGTCACTAGGACTAGTATAGCACTCCACTGGTATGATATTTCCTGTAAATACATTAAAGTAAAAAAAAGAGCTATTATTAAAAACTGCTCTTATTTAAAGGAATGTGTAAAATAGGCTAATTCAGGGACTTCAGTAGACATTTAATTCCTATGATAGTTAAAACAATATATTTCAAAGATTAAAAAAGTAAAAATTATCTTCCTAATAATTACTTCTTTGAAAAGAGACATAATTCCAAAATAATAAGAAACTTATTAAAAACATTATGTCTAACTCTTTAAAAAAGACTGTTTTGAAAACAATGTTGAAAGGTTGACATTATTCAGTACATATATTCTAGATAACTTTCTAAATGTTATATATTCTGAGGTAACTTTCTAAATGCTATTATTATTTAAAATAATGATTCTAAAATAATAAAAAATGATTCTATTAAATTTTATTTTAATGTGAGCATTTATTTTAACTTTTGAGATGCATTCTTTCTCATTATATACTAACTTAAAAATAAAACATCTTTCAATATTAATGTATTATGTTTTCATTTTAATGTTTTACACATTTAGTGCAAATGCAATCCAGAGTGTTAAAGAAATAACCTTTATTTGTAAAAAAAAAAAATTGTAATTTTATTTTCAAACAGGTATACTCACTCTGGCCTTCATATAAGTATATGCTTTGGAAGCTTTCTGTTCTCTGTCACTATTTTTGCAGAGTTGAATCAGTGAAGAATGGGATGGCTATCCTTTGGTTAAGAATATTTCATTGACAAACAAAATAGTGAAAAGTAAATCTGTCTCATGAAAAAGATAATGAGCTTCCAAACAGTCTACCTTTATTGAGCAGTTATTTACTTTTCTAGATTTTGAGAGAATAAATGTATTTTGATACAGTAACAGGAAACAAAAAGTGCTCTTTAATGTTACCAAAAGATGTATATTCAAAATATCTTGAAATGAGTTTTTAAGAAAAGCAACATACATGATTATAGTGTTTACACCTTTCACAATCTTTTAGAAAATTTCAATGAATTAATAGCTAATATTTGCAGTTATCATGTGCAAGCATCTGTGTTGTAAAAAGTCCTTGTGTTTCTTTTCACCTTAGTTAGACTTGGAATAAATTCATTGTATAAGAAAGTATCAAGTAATGTGGCCCTCTGGTGGAAAACTAAGTATCACATTCTGCAGCACAATGTTAGACAGTAAACTAGAAGCTATACAGTATTTGTTACAAAGCTTTACAGAACCTTCTGAAAATCGCCCTAAGAACTTAATTAATAGCCCGACACCTGAAGAACACTCTTGTGCTGGTATGACGTAACTAATATGAAAATCCTATCTTTACTCATGCTTCAATCATGTTCTAAATAATAATAAATTCTCAGCACCCTTTAGCTTACCACATGCTCGATTTGCTATGAACACATTTTTTTCATATTCAAAAGAACACGCTTATTTATTTTAAGTAATCACTGAGGAAAACAAAACTTACCTGCTGTTGTTGCAGATGCAGCAGTTCTACTGTGCTTACTTCAGAGCTGGTGTCACCACTTGATCTTCCATCTCTGCTGCCAGCCTCTAATTGGCTGCTTAGAGTGCTCATTCCATTTTGATTCATTGAACTGTTGCTTATTGTCTCTGTCGCAGATTCCTGCATCATGACTTAATACCTAAAAGTGATTAAGAAGTATCAATTAACACACGTTACACCTTCGCACTTCCATTATCAAGATGTCCCTCTCTGCCAATTACAGAGACAGCATTTTTAGAAGAAAAAAAAAAGCTTTGAATAGTCATTTACCAAAAACAGCAATATAAATTTACATTTCATACACATACTAATTACTGAAATGATGGCTTCTATAAGCATTTTGTGTGTGGTTACATTTAACAGCCAAAATAACATACCATGAACATAGAATGGTCAATAGCATTTATGAACAACCACATTTTAAAGTCTACCTATAAAACCAGTTTAAATGAAGGCACGACTGCACACTCTAGTGTTCTATATTTCCTATTATCTACCTTTGACAACCATGGATGACTATACAGGCTTCTTTTAAATATTCACTGTCTTGATTTTGTCAGAATTTTACAGCACATCTTATGCAATGCAGTTGTTTAATGATGCACAGCTAATCATACAAAATTAAAATTTTGTAAGGGTGTTACAAATCATATGGTATCAACCAATGATAAATTGTATAATGGGTTTCTTTTTTTTTGTGACTAAATAAAATTTTGCCTTGGAGGCATTTTAAGAAAAAGCTCCTGCTGCAAACACGTCAGATATTGCCTATTTTTTTTAATCAAACAGCTCATATTCATTTATTTTTCTGACATTTAAAACATTTAATACTGTCCTTCCTGGGAAGTAATTAAGCTTATGCATGAGCAGCAATCAAACTGTTCACTTGAAGATGACTTAAAACTCAATTTTAACATAGGCAAATAAATGAAAGATATAAAATTAATTTTCCAGGCATGTATTAGATATGAAAGCTGGAAATAAAATCTATCAAGAATATCACTAATGATTGTGCTAAAAACAGCATAAATTATGCATATTACCTTCTCTACAGTAATAAATGTTTTATCATTTTCACTGCATAAATATACTGTACTTTCAGGATAGCAATGAGATGTCCTGCCAAGATCAGTGGAAACTTGCAGTAAATAAAGAACCAATGTGTTCTTACAAACCAGAATTTCACAGTACATCTTGAATCTGTGATTTAGAAAGATCAGTTTTGGCACTTAAAGATATCTGAATCCCATACCATAACCTAGTAGATGCACTTCTCTGTTTTACTTCTACAGACAGAATTACAGAAACAACCTAGCTGCACTCTGACTTTAATGGTAATGCTGGACAGGCAGGGGACTTAGCCTAAACTAAAGAAAAAGGCTAAACTTATCACTCAATCAGATTTTTTTATTAGTATGTGATTTCACTAGCTTAAACTTGGTATATTTTAAGACTTTTGTCCACTTAAAAATTTTAAATGTATTTATTATAAAGCAAATGTTAGCTTAATATCTTTGCGTGTCACAGAGAAATCTTCGGATTCTTACAAAATGTGATCATGGGCACCCATACACACATGAGACACACACATACACACAGATACATGTCCAATAGAGATTTTTTACATGCTAATATTATAATTATTAGAATTGTTATAACAATAATTTTAACAGACATTTTCTTTAAGATTAAATTTTGATGTTATTTTTATAACTCCAAAATTCAATTAAAAAAACTAGCATATTTGTAAAAGACCATCCGTAGCTGAGCTCGCAAAGCAAATTAGAATGACAAAAACTACATACACAAGTGAAAGGTATTCTTATTTTTTAAGCAACAAAAAAATCCCCTAGCTATAAAGAAATCATTGCTCTAACCATAGTAAACAATTTTTGAACCAAATATGTTTATGAATAAATTGTTTTTGTTAAACATCTTATTCAACATTAACAAAGAAAAATCATACAAAGGAAAACTGATACACAGTGATGAATTTTATAAGAAAAAAACAAAGCTAATACTCTTTTCTGAGATTAGGCAGCTAATAAGTATTCAAATTAGGCATAAATTTTACATGCACAATGTTTAAAATATTCAAAGAAAAGGTCTGATTGCCTTTAGTAGTTATATGAAAATTATAATTTGGGTTCTCTCCCACTGTGGAAACAGATAGACATAACTTCTACATATTGCATTTGAATTGTACTTTTGACAATACAGCTGGAGTATATATGTACATGTATGTTTTTCCTTCATTATCCTATTTCATTTGAAATACTTATCTCCGGGTGGAGTTTGCAACACAAACAGTATTTTTTAAAAAACAGTATTTTCAAATATAGCAGATAAGCGCAAGTATTTAATAGTAATCTCTAGATAGTTACTGTCAGTGCTAATTGGATGAATTATATAATTTTGCATGTATTACTGTGTTATAACCAAGTCCATCAAATAATTAAGAATAGTCAACAAGCAGAGAGTCATAGGTTTAAATATCTTTTATAATTATGAAGAAAGACTTAATGTAACTTTCAATTCCTGTCAACCAGAGGATTTTATTGTCTTTCATGGAGTTTTTGACTTTATAAAACTCTAAAGTATAAATTGTGAACTTAGATTTAAGTTCAATCATCTAAGAGTCGGTAAAATCAGGCTTGAGAAAAACAATTACAGTAATAGTACTTTTTAATTTGTAAAACAAAAGCATCAGATTTGACAACTAATATGTCAAAAGAAAGGCAGTTTTGTGATGAGATGATTACAATGTACATTTCACCCAAAGAAGAAAGCCTGGAATATGTCTATTATAAAGGAGATACATCCTCAAAGATAATGAAGATGCTTTTGTATTTACTGAGTTTCTACTAGTGACACTTCCACACCTATTTTCCACTAGAGGAAATGTTTCAAGCACAATGTGAGGTGAAGTTTATCTTTTAAAGTAAAAATTCAGCATATTCTTTCAAACTGAATGTGCTTGTGGTCCCAAACATACCAAACTAAATTATTCATTCTTTTTCAATTATACTATACCACAAACTTTTTACAAATATCACTGAAAATAAATTCCAGATCATTAAAGGAAAAGGTGAAATTATGAATCGTCATTTTAATGTTTGTCCGAACTGTTAGCTAAACCTTGAAATATTTCATCATACACACCTTTTCAGCCACATCAGAAAATAACTCTTTATATTCTGCACTCAGATGATACAGTTCTACTTTTCTCTTCTCCATCATTAAAATGTTCCTTTCTTTCTTTTTCCCTTCTTCTTTTTCCTTTTTAAGCAAGTCATTGTACAGATACTTATTCTCTACACCACTTCCCTTTTGAAACATTAAACTGACACTGGAACTGACTGCACAAGATTACATTTTCTCCTCCTAAACAACTTGAATTGAAAGGTTACTTAGTGTAACAATATTTACTTGCAGAATTGTGTTGTTACCAAGGGTATAATGGATGGTGGCTATGCAGGTTTACGCAAGAATGAGTGAAGCATGAGGCATTAGCCATGTGTTTGACATGTTTCAAATTGCTATAATCCAGCATTAAACACACCCAGCAATTCATGCCATTTCTTGCAGCCATAATCTTGAATAAAGCGTGCACAACCACTTATTATATAAATTAGTATATGACTCCCTGTTATAGTCACAACAGTGCTTTTGTGTTTATTTTGCTTCAAGATGTAGTCTTTTATTTATACAAATAGCAGGATATAAAGACATAGTTCAATTAGACCTCCTTACTTTATGATAGGGTAGTACTGAATGCTAGACTTGGTTTTATTTTTCCTTTAAGAGTTATAGGTTCCACTGGTATAAAGCTGTACCATGTGAGATAGATATTTGTCAGACAATAAGAGAAACCTGAATATATTTTATTTCATATTCACTACAATGTTCATAAGTTTGAAACTTGACCTGTTAACTATGCTATCTCTACGACCACCAGGGACACTATTGGTCCTTGTTGTTTACTCAACTTTTCCCTCTGGACTTCTCTCTCATCTATTCTGTCTCCCTCTCTTATTTCTCCTACAGTTATCCCTCCCTTCTTCTTTTTCATCACCTATCCCCATGTGTGTGTATATGCATATGTCTGTATATGGATAGATATAGATGACAGATAATAGATGACAGATCACACTATATATGTCAAGGATGGTAAGAAGGAAGAAATAATCTGTACTCCCTATGTACTTCCCTATTCACATACATGGACACTTCATCTTATAATATTGATGCCTTAATGTTAAATCTCAATTTTTGGTATGTTATTACTTAATGAAAAAATGGATAAAAATGATTTCCTAAAAAACTAAAAATAAGTAACAGTATATAAAAAAGTTTATAGCTATTTCTATGAACTTTTCTTAAACAAAATTATAGTAACATTAAAAGGTATTTTATGTCCAGTATCTATTTTCTTCCAGTGTCTAATTCATTTAACCAATATATATGTGTATATATGTATATATATATGAATATTCCAAAAGATTTTGAATATGACATTTAAATAAAAATATACAATAGGATTGGCACATTATTATATAATTTGAATTAAAATAAACACAATATTTCTATGCAGATTCACATAATAAAGAGCTAATTATGAAGAAAACTTACATATGCAACAAAAAATCACATACATTTTCTTCAAAATATCAGCTAAATCATGGTTTTAAAAACTATGATGTAAAACTTCTGTAAGTAACTAGCATTTAAATAATGATAACTTTTGTGCTCTAGTGGAATTAATTCATCATGGATACTAGGCACATTGCTTTTGAAATCTCTTACTGCTTTGCTAAAAGTCTTTAATGCCAAGATTGCTTAATAAATCAAAATGCCAAATGTAAAGGACATAGTTGAGTGTGTAAGAACAAAAACTGAACAAGCACATGAACATTTTTAATTTTTAAAAACTGAAACTGGATGTCCTTTTAGAGGAAGGACATTTGCTGTTACAGCAAGCAATATAATCCTTATTATAACATGCTATATTATGTTAAGTAAATGAATATTAAACTGTTTAAAAGTATTTGCTGCTACCTTTTAGTTATATAAACAACATCTTTGAAGTGTTAATCACAAATTAAGGTTAACTTCTTTGGAAAAAAATTTAATTAAAAA